AAAGCCTGGTTATAAAAGGCCACCGCCACTCTGAGGCTGAGTGGAGCACAGGTGTCACACAGTAAGTCATGGCTCTGCCTGGGTAGGGCGCTTGGCAGGGTTGGGCAGCCAGAGGGACATGGCCCAGAGGAGCAGCCACTGCGCTGGGAGGATCCTGCATCCGGGTTCCACAGAGGTGCTTCCGTCTCCCTGTGTGGGTAGGCCTCAGCCTCAGGGTCCCCACCTGGAGGGACAGCCCAAAGGGACCCAGGCACTGGGCTTCCCTGGGCTCCAGGCCCCCTGCCCTGTCTGGGTTGGGTGATGGCCCCCACTGTCTGTGTTTTCATCCATGTAGATGCTGCCCTCCTGGATCGTCGGCCTCCTCCTGCTGGCCACCGTCAGAGGTGAGGGTGCTGTCCCACCCCCGTGGGGAGGAAGGGACCGTGCCTGGGCTGGCCTGTGGGTGGGGCCGCTAGAGGCCTCATCATCATTATCAACATAATGAACAGCGTTATCATTATTTCAACAAAAACAACATTTGCCACCATTGGGGGAGTGTTGATGCTGAAGCAAGCACAGGCAACATCTTGGACACAGATGACCGTGGGGACCCACCCGCCCTTTTCCTCCAGCAACTGGCTGTGATGTGGTGACCCAAGTGGTAGGCTGTTGGGCAGCAGATTGGGGGACGGTGCTCTCAACAGGTCCCTAAGTCCCTCAGTCCCTTGTGAGAACAACTGTGTGTCTGCAGCCTAAGCTACATGGATGTGTCCTGCGTAGAACTGTCCTGCCGGCCCTGCGACAGGAGTGCCCCCTCCTGTCCCTCCCTCCCCATCACTCCTCTCTGTTGCCACCTCTGTCTCTCCAACTCCAATCTGAGCCTTTCCTCTGGCCTCCCTTCTGCTGAGCTTCCTTCTACACCATGAATCCCCCTTTCCTCCTCACCTCGCCCAGCCCACTCTTGGCCTCCCTTCCATCATGGCCACGCAGCAGGACCTGACTCCAGAGAGCAGAGCCCACCTGGGTCTGGCTGCTCCTCAGGACTTTCTGGCCCCTCTTGGTCTCCTTTGCTCCTCCTCTGCCTCCTCCTGCCCTAAATGTGGGCGTCCCGCAGAGGTCACTCCCGGCGCTCTCCTCGCCCTTTTCCTGTGGCTTCCCCTTTGCCCAGGCTCTGTTCTCCTGGCCTCCTTATCTCCCTTCCAGTTTCCAGGCAGCTACATCAAGGCCTCCCACCCCGTCTCACACTCACTTGTTCAGGCTCAGACACCACTCCCTACCCCGTCTCTCCACCCTTCCCTTCATTTCCACTGTCACCCAAGACTGGAATGCCTGTTACCTCTCAGACCCACCACCCCTGTCCTGCCCACTCCAACCCCCACTTCTCCCAGGCTTTCCTGCCTCTGAGCCACCCACACTGGGTTCCCGAAAACACCTTCATGGAGCACAAACACCACACTCACCAGCACCTCCCACTCACTATC